TGAAAACCAAAAAAAATATCTTCCCAATTATCTTATGTTTCTGGTCACATTGTCAATTCCTTAATTACTTGAAATTTAATTCAAACCATTCCTCATTGCCAGGAAGTGTTTTTTCTTAAATGCATAAATGTTACAATTCAACACAGCCATCATATTAACTTGTTTCTTTGTGTTTAATTTTTACATCAATATGTGAATTTGTTTGCTGAACTGTTATTTTTTTCTCCATGTACACTGAATGGATAATCTATTGTTTTCTTTCTCATCAGTATTACAAATTCTTATTTTGAGGTCAGGTGGTTAAAAATGTCACTGAGTCTATCATTGTCAATACATTTTCTCTCTATTGATTTCTATGCACCAGTTTATAAACTGCTTCAGGTGGATGTATATTTTTACATAAAAGTAAATAGCTCAGTTATTGATTGACATCAAATTTCTGTGGCTGTTAGTGTACACAAGGATTTTGAAACACTAAATAATGATGTGTATTTGTTATCTTGATCTTGTAGTGTATCTTAGCCAGGTCATTGTAGATGAGTTTATTGCTCAGTGGTTAGATCATTGGGCTGGAGACTGTACTGTGAAGCTCAAATTTATATCAAATGATGAAAATTGAATATTAAATCCAATTATAATCTTTTCTTTCTATCAAAGAAAGGGTTTAATTGCAAAATTGTATTGATTAAATCAATGTTCTGTTTAATAGATAATGATTGATCCTCATGAATGTTAGTGAAGCTATTTCTTATATTCTAACTTGTGTTCTGAATGTTCTGTTATTGTTGAAAACATTTATTGGTGTTTCTGATTGATTTCAGTTCAAATTCCTATTGGCAAATACTTAAGAAAAGTAAAATGATTTTTAAATGCATTCGTTTTAGGATATATTAAAGTTTTCACTCTTTTTGTATTCATTTTTAAATTACTAAACTCTGCAAGGATTTCATTTTGAAAGACATTTTTTCTTTAAGATAAATTTTGATTAACACCGTATCAGAATTATGAATTTTAAATGACAAAATATAAGACAGTTTGGAAAAAATATGTACTTTGACATATTTCACTAATGATCCCATGTCATGAGAAAATTTTATGACACAAGAACAAAATCTACATTACCAAAATGAGACTACCTTAGAAATATTCAACATCAGCTCATCCTCAGAGGATATTGACTATGTATTATCAAACTTGAAATTCAGCCAAATATGTTCAGGGACAGTTGTATGTGTTTAGGCAGCAAGGATTCATTTAGCCCTTTAGTATTCAACCCACTCAAAAACAAACCCAGTAAACATCAGCTCTCAATGTCCAACCTGCTGTAACCGACCCCATGTATACTCTGCCATAATATATAACAGTATCATCACAAATAACACGGGAATTTATGCAAACAGTAAGATTTTGAGAGACAATATTTATGGGGTGGGTTTGAACATGTTGAATACTAAAGGGTTAAACAAGTTGTATTAAATACAATTAACAAAGTCTCTGTTGAATTTTTTTATTGTATTTTCTCACTATTTACATTATTTGAACTATTGTCCTCATCTTTGTCGCCATGTTTATTACAACATTTCAGCCATCATACACTCCGGCCTTTTTCAGGTGGTTGGAATGTCGAACTGAACCCTTTATTTCGCTCACTGGGGTAGACTGTTCTAGTTTCATGTGCCATGTTTAATGGATTTCAGTTATCAGTTATCTCCTGTTAATTCCCCTCTGCAAGTTCTCCACTGCCTTAACTGGGTATTGCACTCACACTCTTTGGGTCATGTCATACACAGATGTCCTCAAGGACACATGGCACAGTCGATAAAGGCGTTAGATCCAGTGACGTACAATGGCTGAAATGTAATAAATATGGCGACAAACATGAGGACAATAGTCTGAATAATGTAAAGAGTTACCCAAAAGCTTCTCACTTTTTTACTTTTGATTTTTTCTTGAATTCAACTTGTTGACATATTTGCCATTTCTTTGAAATTATTTCTCTCATTTTTGCTTTTCCTTTTGTACTCAGTAAAATGCCAAAAAGAATGAAAAACTTTTCATATTCTTTTTTTCTTTTCTTTTTTTTTTTAACTTTTCTCATTCATTTTCAAAATGGTGTTTTAAAAACTTTAGCTTTCATGAATGGCCAAAATCATATAACAGAAAATTGAGAGATTTTCCACAGGTCAAGAAAAAATATGAACTAGAATAAAACACCAAATTTAAGGTGAACGGCTACACTTGCATCATTCTTAACACTTTTCCCATGTAGACCAAAACACAGATGCTTGCTGTTTTTTTTAAAAAGAATCAATTATGTTCATTATTGATTTCACTATGAAGCTAATAAAGTTAATTTTTTTTCACAATTGACTCAAGCTTAAGGTAGTCATTATTTTAACTGTTCCTTGATATGAAAATCCCCAAATCCTCTGCTCTTGGTTGTAAATACTTACAAGTTATCAAAGACTTCAGATCATTCTGAATTTAAATTCAGTGTTTCTGAAAATAGAGGAACAATTATAAAAATTCATGGCCTGGCTTAATGTAGCAAGTTTTTATTAGAAAAAAAAATATAAGCATAATAAAAATTTTATCTAACAGGCTTTCCAAATAAATTGATTTTTTGTAGGATTATGTTTTGGTCTTTTATTTTATTTTTAAGTTAAGAAAATACAAAGGAAACAACATAAAAATATTTTCACTTATTGCCTTATTTGGTAGCAATAAAGCTGTATTGATGTAAAAAGGACACCTAAACAAGTTTTATACTGGATTAAATATGGACATTTGACTCTACCAAAATCACATTTGCATGTTATAAAACACTTGATGCTGGATTTTAAACAATCCTGTTCACTTTATTTTAAAAATCACAAGTTACTGAATATTTTATAGAGATTTTGCTGCTGCAACCAGAAAATATGATTTAGTGTTTTTTGGTTGTTTTTTTTTTTGTGTGTATGGAATGTTTACTTGATGTAAACTATGGTCACATATAGCAAAAATTTCATAAAGTTTACATAATTTGTAAATATTTTAAAACACAAAAATAAATATATTTGCTTTGGACAAGAAATAAACTAAAATGCTCTCTTAATGCTCTTTTAATAGTAAATTAAATTATAAAAACAAAATTATCATAATTTTGTTCTTGTAACTAAATTTAAAGTTAGGTGTTTGCTGATTGATGTCAATCATCTCTTAGCCAACATAAAACAATTTTTTTGTTTTGTAATTTTGTAGCCATATGTAAAGGTCCCTCTGCAAAAAAAATTCATTTGTAAAATTGTTGAATACATTATATACATTTTTAACACAATTTCTAGCAATTTTTCCATGAAATATGTACATTAATGAAATAGATATGAAATATTCCCTCAGTTATTTAAAGTTGCTTCAAAAAAAAGAAACAATCTTTTAAATGTAAATAGTTTGAATTGATTCTAGTGATATGCATATAATTAGATCAACTATTTTCTTTTTTTAAATATAATGTTAAATTGCATTTGATATGCATTTTAGGTAAGATTCTAAAATTTAGTACAATTTTTCTAAGGTTTTGGGTCGATTTTTCTCTTTCCAAATTGGACTAACATTTTGTAAATTAGCTCTCATTCGTCTTGCTAGTGCCTCTTAAAAATGGCTACTGTCTCTCAATCCAACCCAGTGAGTTGGACCATTCTGATGCTGTTTGGAATGATTATCAAAAGTAATTTAGCATGAAGTTTAATTTGGAGCTTCAAAACATATCCTTTTGGCTTGGTTAATTGTTTGAAATTGTAATTATGCAGTGCCCCTTCCTTTTTTCATTACTTTTGATGTTTACATTTTTTTTCTCTTTTTCATTTTTTACATAAAAGCTTTTCAAGTTTCTCAACCAAAGAAACTATCTTTTTATTACTTACAATTATTTTCATATCTTTTGTGTTTTTTCTTAAACATTAAACTAATACTTTTCAATTAGTATCAGCAGAATGCATTGAATATATTACACTGTTTCTTCGAGCAACACTTCAGGCTATACACATAGATTATATATTAATTACAAGTGTATGAACTGTTTGAAGTAAACTACATCCCATTACTTAATCAATTGACCATTCACTTCTCTGGCATTGGCCATTTACATGTTGTTAGAATGTAAACAATTTGATAATAGATTCAGTTAAATCTTAAGAGACAATGATTTTGCTTGAAAGCTATATTGTCAATGACATAAAAATCCCTATAATAATTACAGGTTTTATTAATAAACAAATTTCCCAACTGCAGGGTACATTGAGATACCTCTCTGCTTTAAACCATCCTTTAGATCAGCCCATTGTCAGCACTTTACATTCTTGCTTATTCTAACATTAATGATCTGCTTTGTCTACTTTTAAAACTTTTCTTCCAACCATCAAGTCATATATTTCATATGTTATTCTAATTATTCATCCCTTCATGTTTTTTTTTTCTTTAGAATCATCCTTTTTATCCCTATTTGTACATGATGTGGGTAATTTTGAAAATGGCTACAAACTTTTTACTCTATCCATAATTATTTTTTTTTACTTAAGTTATTCTTATCAACTTAAAATAACTTGAAAATTATATTGCTTATATAAATTTGCCTGAAAATAAACAAAACCAGTCATATTTTTGACTTGAAAATCTCTCTTGGTTGCATATCTCAGAATTCTAAATGAATTAATTCGCAAAATCATAGATGATTGTCAGCTTTCTAATATTCACAGTTTTCGAGGCTTTTAAAATTCTTCTGTTTTCATAAAATATTAATGAATCTTATTTGCAAATAGAATTTATCTTCATCTAATCACACAAACTAATTATCTTAAGATTAAATCTCAAATATACAACTAAATAAAAGTTAGATGAACACAAGAAACAGACAAATTCTGTATATCAACTCTAGACAAATTGTTATTGTTAAATAGATAAACTTTTTTTTTGCATTTCACTTTTCTGTGCTTGATGCCAGTGATGTTGACTCAAGACCCATGAGAAGGCAGGCTCGCTTTCTTTTCTCTCTCTGCTTATGTAATGTGATGCCTGTGACCCATCTAAACTATTACTACTCTCTTTTCACTTATCAAAAAAATAAGCAGACTGGAGGGCTGGGTGGAAGTTATTTGTCAGTGGTTCTAAAGTGGAATATGATAGAAACTTGAAACTTTAGACATATTTTCACTGGTTTTAGTAAAACCTTTGAAACTGGTTGTTTTCAGGCATCTGTACATTGACAAAGCTTCTAAATGCTCTGACTTAGTGGGAGTTTCTTAATAAAAACTCGTATCTCACCCTTTTTTTATTGCAAGTTTTAATTTAGAGACTAATTCTAGCAATAAGAATGATGCTCCAGTTGCTTGGAAAAAAGGTTACTTCTAAAATTTCTTCAAATAGTGATTTATTCTTATTAAACATTTTCAAATTAATATTTAACAAATTCATTTTTTGAAGAGAATTGTCAGTTTGCAAAACAAATCGAATGTAAAATTTGAGTTTTTATTTAGGGTAGATTAACCTGGCTGATTCAGATATTTTTGATACTGTACTTTTTGCTGTTAAACTTGGTTTTTCCATTTCTTTGCATGATAAATATCTTATTCTTAATGCTGTCATCTCTAAATGTTGCATGTATGTGTGATTGTGGCAAAAATTGTAATGATACAACTAGTGCACATGCAATTATATATTGTTGGTGATAAAATGGCATGATCATCACAAGGCAACCTGCAGTTATCAAAACGGTGTAGAAAATGACACCTTTTAATATTGCAGATGGCTGACCAAAGTTTGTATTACAAATCCAATCCTTAAAACAGCTTTTAACAGCTAGCTATAATGTACGACTACCAATCAAATCAGCTTTTTACCAACCACCTGCTTTTGATGAAGGCGAAACTCAATAGCAAGTTCAGCACCCACTTCTATTGTTTGTTAACACTAACAAATTACTGATGACTAACACTTGTTTGTTGGACAGCAGCCACTGCACTTTGGCTATTTGTGTCTTGGGGAGGGGCTTCCTTACAATATAAGCAGGTTAGTAGTCTTCCTTTTCAGGTTGATTTTTTTTTTTTTTCCTCTGTCCCCCCCCTCTCCTTCTCGGTGTTTCTCCCAAGACAAGCGTCTGTTCAGATCCATCGTTGCCCTAAATTTTACCCAGATGTTACCATATGGTTTGAATTGACTACTTGTTGACTTGTCTCTTTTCGTTTTACTGCTTTTCTCCCTTTTCCTTCTTGAGTACAATTTTACTTTAGGCTCAGTTTTTGTTTTGTTTTGTTTTTAAGTTTATTCTATTTTCCGAGTTCTTTATTACAGTTTGAATTGTATTCCTTTATAAACGTTAGATCATCTCTTTTCTTAGCTTGTCTTAATTATTATTGTGTAAGAAGAAGTAGTCTCTTAGAGCGACGCCTTCTCGTAAAAAATGTGTTAATGACTTTGAAATGAACAGATATTAAAAAAAAAAACGAAAAAAAACATGATTAGCATCAAAGATCAGTACATTTATGACCGACCTGATTTGATGATCAGAATATAATCAATTCTAAAAATAAGAAAAATTTAACATGAAAATATCATCATATAGTTAAGAAAAAAGTTCACTTTTTAACTTTTTTTAGGAAGACTTCAATAGAAATTTTCTCTCCTCAACGTAAAAAAAAAAAAAAAAAAAAAAATCTATTTCTTTCTGTTACAGAAGTTGTAAAAAAAAAAATTGCTCCGTAACATTCGTCTTTGCTAAATAATTTATCTGGATTCTTGGTGAATTTTGATTCGGTATTTATTTTTTGTGAATCAAAAAAATGTCCACTCACTCGGTGTCTTCTTTGATTATGAAATATTTTTTTTTAGTTTTTTAACAAATGACTCTTGTTTAGTTTTTATATTTCTGAAAATTATTATTTAAGTTAACTAAGAAGTTCAGGATATTTATTTTTACACAGACTTCATAATCCACTTACCTGCGTATTCCCAAGAAAAATAATATAACGGTTGCTTTTTTTTTAGTTTTTTATCGTTTTTAAATTAATTTTCTTTTGTGCCCAACAAAAATGTTCTTTGTACTTTACTTTATATTCGTTTAAGAAGAAGAGGGTCACTGTCATTTTATCATTCATCCCTGGTGTGATTATTACCCAGTCAATGACTGCTATTTGAGGTATTTTTACCTTTTTATTGCCTGTTTAACTTAAACAGTTTAAGTAAATGATAGATGAAATATCGAAGAATGGCTTCCTTCCTAGTATTTTTATAGTAACTAAAACTCCACCTTTCCGTCGTTACATGCTTCGTTAATTGTTTTATTCTTTTAAATCGCAACTTACAACTACTGTATCGCCACTATTACTCTTGTTTCCCTCCATTCACGGTATTTCTACCGCCTTTCTTTCCTATTGTCTTCTTGATGATGATGCTATGAACTTACAGTTGTTTCGTATCGGCGGTTTTGCTTGATTCGTCCTTCCTTTGCTTCTTCTTCATCATCATCATCATCATCATGCTAGACAAGCAATTCTCTTGCTCTCCTGTCTGCTAACCCCGTCCATTCACACTGCTTCACTTTTTTCCCCTCCCTCTTGCTTCGTTTCCATTCACAAATCACACACTGCCCTTCACCCATTCTCAAACCTCCACCTGCTACACCCTGGCTTTTCTTTCTCTACTCCTACTACGACAACCAACAATTCTATCATCGCATTTTGCATCCCCCCCCACACACACACTTTTTTTTTTACCCTCAGCCAAGCACTGACTGCTGCTGTTCTTGCTAATCTCTAGTCAAATAATGTACATCATCCTCTTTCTCTCTGTACTTTCCTGTCTCGCTGGTTGCATCAGCAGATCACTGCTGGTTTTTCCCACATACTGACATCGCGAAAAAATGTCTCGTTGTTGGCAAAGTTCCTTCGTGGTCCATTCGAGAGGTTATTGTTGTTCCCTGATCCAGGGAACAACTTACCTACACATATGCCTTCATGTCTTGGGGAAAATAAACCACTTTTTAAATTATACACGTTGAATTCTTCTTGTTTTATTTTTTTTATGTCATCCAGTAATTAAAATGTTGTAGAGCCACAAAAATATTTTTTTCTTTTCCCTTTCTAATATTTTCTTAAATATTTCGACAAAATTATTTAGTTGTACCACCTTAAATGCAGAAAAATAAAATGGAACCAAGATTTATAGAACTTAGATATTTTCCCAATTAAAACATAAAAACAAAGAAAGAGTATTAAATAAAGCAATAAATTATCCAGAAACCAATCTTTAAAATATTTTGTTTGATTTATGTCTATTTAAAAAAAAAAAAAAAAATTTCTTAAAATATCAAAATTAAATCCAGATTAGTACCCAAACTATTTAAGTTTTTTCCACCATGGAAGTTAAAATAAAAGAAATTAAAAAAAAAATGAAATGCAATATTGCCACCTTCATTTTTTACCTTTTTTATTCTTTTTGCATGTTATCTTTTATTTAAAAAAAAAAATAAAATACTAAATAAAATTTCTCAACTCAAAAGCTCTACACCACTCAAATTCCTCTCACATCCAGTGCCTTTTTCAAATTTTACATGACTTTATAGTGTCCCACTTCAAAATGCATTTATCTCCCCCCCCGCTCTCTCTCTCTCTCTCTCTCTATATATATATATATATATATATATATAATCAGATAATTTTTAACCTTCACTTTCTCTCTTAGATCTGCTGATTCACTCTTCTTGACTGTGTTTATGAGAAGGAATGTTACAAGGAATGGTTGCTATGTCATACTCAAACTTTTATGTAGGGTAACTTGTATGAGTGAATATCCCTTACTTTAATTTAAGACCAACTGACGTTAAATCCCCCTACCTTTTTTTTTTTTTTTTTTTTTTTTTTTTTTAAAGACATTTCTTCTTTGCCCTACATTAATGTTATTGCAACTCAAGCTCCACCCACACTGATGGGTTATTTGGCCAATACACTTACCAATTGCCACCCACAGCCTCTCTAGTGTGAGTTAGGATGACCAACTTATTTTCAACACTCCAGTAGTCTTTGTCACCCAACTCTGTTGAGAGGTTAACATTTTTTATTTTTTTTTGTTAAAAGCTTGAGGGAGAAGTAAAGTATCTATAAGTGACTAATAAATACACTCCTTTGTGAAAAACTCAGTACTAAATATTTATTGCAGATGCTTTGAGAGTACCAAGCAAGTTTGTCTTGTTTGGGTTCCAACCTCCCACTAGTATTTTACTGTTTTTCCTTCACCTAATTTTCTATTAACTTTTATTTGAAAAACAAACTCATTAAAATATGTGAAATTATCGTTATTCGAAGAAATTTACCGAAAACTAAAATTTTATTTTACATTGACAGTTAAATTTTTGTTTATCCCTCTTTTATTTCTAAATTTTAATGCAATTATTTCCAGCAGAACTTTCTTGATAAACCAATAATTCTTGCTGATTCTACATATTTAAGTTATAGAAAATGAACTGATTGTCATAAAGAGATTTTATCAGCTGGTCAAGGATTAAAATTATTTAGATGAAAAAAGAAGAAAAACACTTGTTTACTCATTTAGTTCAAAATTATAGTGGTTGGTTGGTGATACTATAATTTATGCAAAAATATTTAAATAGATTCATTGTGTGTGAGTGAGAGAGAAGGAAAGAGAGATTAAAAAAAAAAGAAACATTGCATGATAAAAAGATGTCCTTTTCTAAACAAAAAATGGAGTTATAAGAGTTGGGTGGAGTTCTTACACACACACACACACACACACACACACACACACACACACACACACATTCCAAACATGTTACCTGATCTCTTAACTGGATTGCTGAGTTTTTTGTATTTATCTATTTGACCTTATTTTTGCTAACTGCCCACCCCTTCACATACATTTTCTAGCAGTAAAAAGGAAGTTAACTTTCTCTCAAAAGTTTTTAATATCTTCATTGTGTTTAACATATTTCAGATAACTCAAATACTTTAATATTTAAAAAATGTAAAAATTGTAGTTTTTTTACTGTAGATCATTGTCCATTTTGCTCTTTATTTACACTTAGATTTCTGTATTTTATTCGTCATTTTCTTGTAAACTAACTTTATTGGAAATCATGCAGAAACAATAAAAATGTCATAAAAGAAAATCAATGAAAGTAAGATTCAATTGTTTTTCTTTTTATGCTTTAACCTTATTCACAATGACCAAATATACAGGGAAGACCATTCAACCACACTGCCACTAGTCAGTCAGTCAAGAAGTTGGTAGCAATCTGTTTCCAAGTGACAAGTCATTGCTATTTATCTTAAATTATTTAGATTCTTTTTCTATGATACTAAAATTAGTCACAATAAATTTTCCTCTGAATTTCAGCCACTGCACATATGGTGAGGGTTTCCAATTTTCAACTGGATTTTCAATTTGTTATATTTTACATAATTGGGAAAACTTTTGAGTGGGAATATTTCATTTACTTTTTGACATAAAAATAAATAAAAATTATACATTTTCTCTCAGTTTGCATTCTGGGAAATGAAAAAATATGGGAAGAGTTTGAATGAAAAGAAAAAAAAAGCATGAATGTATTTTTCCTTATCTATTTTTTTTTTTTTTTCACTTAAAATTTGCATAGAGTAATTCCATCCCCACCCAAGCAACAGATTTTCATCTTAATGAAACAGGTTAAAAACAGGAATTTAATAAATCCTAGAGTTTTTTTTTATTACTTTTATTTTTTCTTTATTAAAAAGTGAACCCTCTCCATCATTTTTTTTTTTTTTTTTTTTAAGTCAGTCATGTTATTTGTAAAGCAATATGTCAGAGATAAACCTTGTATTTGTATTTAAAGGAAACTTTAACCACAGATTAAATTTCTACATTTTTTTTTGCTAATATTTCTGTCTTTGCATTTTCAAAATCAAAACTGGATTTGGTGATCAGTTAGATTTGTTATAATTAAAGAAAACAATTTTTTTTTTGTTTTAACCATGTCTTTGAATTGAAATGTACTGTCCCATGTTTTAACATGATTTACAATTTTCTTATGCTTTATATTCAATCAAAGAAACATTTTTAAAAAATACTAATTATAAGAGCAGATAAATCTGCTAATGAAACTTCCTTCCTTTTTCACATTTCATACATTTATTTTTTTTATATAATTGTGTAATGTAATAAAAATTATTATGTGTCCTGGTATATAAGACATTTTAGCCTTATTTGGATTATAATCCCTTCATAAAATTGGTTGTATCTTATCAACAATGTCTTACTCTGTTAAAATTACATTTATAGCATAAAACCTTTTTTTTAACTTACTAAGATTTACAAATATTTACAACTTTGTCAAATCAATTTGACTGAAATCTGTGATTTTGAATCTTAAGCTGTCAGTGTTTGTTTTGATGTCATGTTCAAATGGCTTCCTGTTCTATAAATATGAAAGTTCTGCTGCTAAGTGAATTTTATTTTAAATATTTTCTCTTTGATGTGTATAGATAGGTTTACCATAATATAGGATAGTTTTCAATTAAGTTAGTTTCCTTGCTGCTGGATGTAGTTTATCATCTTACTCAGGACGTGGATGTAGTTTAATGTCTTACCCAGGACGATAAGTTTATAAAGAAACAAAATAGCTATTGTCTAAACTGAAATGAAAGGAATGCATCCCCTCCTATAAATGAGAATCTATTGCAAATAAGATTATATCTCCAGTTTAATTTTCATATTTACGAAGACATCATTAATATGATCAACTTTCGACAAAGTACGCCACAAGGATCTGCAGCCTTGGCATATTTGGGAAAGATATCAGAATAATCCAGAACCTATACTAGCAGCAAACAGCCAGCATGCACATCGGGAATGAGTTCAGTGAATATACAAAAATAGAAAGGAGTGCAAAGCAAGGACATGTCTTCTCACCCAACCTGTTCAACCTGTACAGCAAAGCAATTCTAAGAGAGTTGGAAACCCTACTGAGATTTAGTATTGGTGGCCACAATCTCAACCACATAAGATATACAGACACACAGTACTGATAGCAGACACGGAAAAGAAACTGCAAAATCTCCTACAGAAGATAGCAAAGGAGAGTGAGAAGAAGGGACTAAGCATAAACTACAAGAAGACAGAATGCATGCTCATCAGTAAAAGGATGAGCCCGAAATGTGATTTGCAGGTCAAGAACATGAGAATCAAGCATCTGCGGAAGTTTAAATATCTGGGAAGCGTTTTGACAGAGGACAGTAAGTACAACACTGAGATACATCAACGTATTTGGATGGCCAAGGACACATTCCAAAAGCTGGGCAGAGTATTGCGAGACAGGAGGATTTTTTTGGTAACAAAGAAAAGGATACTGAGTTGTTATGTGATATCTGTCCTTTTTACGGCAGTAAATGTTGGACGATTTCCTCAAGGATGAAGAAGAGACTCAAGGCGACGGAGATGTGGTTCTACAGAAGGATGCTAAGGATATTGATAGTGTGTGTGAGCAACGATGAGGTTTTACAGAGATTGCAAACAAGGAGGAATTTTATACTTAACATCAGGAAGAGGTAGCTGAAGTTTCTGGGATACATAATGAGGAAGGAGGGCCTGGAGAATCTGATACACATGGGTCGAATAGAAGGAAAAAAAGAGACATTCCTGCTGGGCTTGAGCAGGTGGATGGCAGAACGTGGTCTGGGGGAGATAGTAGAGGGCAGGAACTTGTTGAGAGCTGCAAGGGATAGAAGGAGGTGGAGAGCCATGATTGCTTACGTCCTGAAAAGACATGGCACATAAAAAGAAAGAAAGAACATAATCAATTGTTTACTAAAAATTGTTAGATGTTATAAAGCATTGTTTTCAGCTTTGAGTGAGTCTTCAAATAACTTTAGTAGGATTTTGATTTTAATATATTTTTTTCTTTATCAGTCTCAGATAAAATTTATGCTTCTAAATAGAGGTATTTTCTAAACTTAGCTTCATCTAACATAAGGCCAAAAATTTGATGCACTCAATGCTTGAAGATATATCACTTGGATTATCTCTGGCAACATGTTACACATTCTAAAATGTCTAAATATTTACTTTATTAGCTAATATGAGCTTTTTTTTTTCTTTTTTTCTTAGATTTTATGAATAAAACTAGATTTTTCCTAAATTTGAGACAGTTTCCATTTCATAGTTTTTTTTTATTTATTAAACAGGTAAATTAATTTTATATGAAAAATGCTTTATAATAGTAACATTATTAATGACATTAATCTTCACATCTAAGGACTTACTTGGATCAAAGCTATAAAGTATTTCTCATAATAAAAGTGACTTTTTCTGCAACCTATATCAAATCATTGTACTACCAATAACTTTGATAAAATCTCAACTAGTTTTCAACAAACAAGACAGATTTCCTTTTAATTCCTTCAAAATTTGCCAACCAACCATATCAAGAACTCTGTTGAGAACATTGTTATCATTTAATCAAGTCCAAGAGGACATTTTCAATATGCTCTTTCATAATAATGAAAATTTTGGTCATCTATCAAATACATTTGAGTAAAATCTCACTTTTCTGACTGGTATGCCACTCTGAACATGGTACATATGATCTGCTTCTTTGTGAATAAATTGGTGATCAAATTTTATAAAAAGAATTAAATATTTGTACACAGCTCACCTAAAAAGACCATACATACACTTTTCACTCTTTATAACACTTGCACTTATTGCCTATTAATTTGCCGTCCTATCAGCTGGGGCTTCAGAATATGCCAACTGCACATCTTCAGAGGGGACAGACCCCCCCCCACTAAAAAATGAGGTGTCCTGGGTAAGACAATAAACTACATCTGATAGCAAAACCTCTGGTGAGGAGGTTTTGAGGAGCATGGAATCACCTATTAATTGTTGGTATTCCCAGCTCCACCCTGACCCAGGGTGATAGCACCTGTTGGGTTCCAGCTATGGGCAAATAGTTAACCTCAAAATGGGGCCAATATGCTATGAAAGTGTAAAAGTAGGTTTTAATACCAGCAATACATTTTTGTAAATACTATTACCAGCAATGAATTTTTGAGGAAGAAATTATTACCAGCAAAACATTATTAGAAAAATATATATATAATATATATATTACCAGCAAAACATTATTGAAAAAAATTTATATATATATTACCAGCAAAACATTATTGAAAAAAATTTATATATATAAATATTACCAGCAAAACATTATTGAAAATATATATTTCCAGCAAAACATTATTGAAAAAATATATATATATATATATATATATTACAGGCAAAACATTTTTGAAAAAAAAAAAATGTTAGCAATCAAAATCTTGTTGGCAATAAATAAGCCATTGAGATTGATATGCGGTAAAACAAACAAACAAATAAACCCATTAATTTGAATTCCTTATCCTGTGTCCTTTCATTTAAAAAGAGGGGAAAATGTTATAGAAATCAAAGATGCTGATCTGGCGTTTCATGTTGAAATGTTTACTGATGACCTATAAAATAATGACCAAACATTGGACAGTAAAACTGGCTTTTTGAACTAAAATTCATGCGAGAGGAAATCTTCTCCAAGCATTTTCTGAAGAAAATAAACTCATGAAATTTGTCTTCAAAATTCTATAATGACATTAACAGCAAAAGCAATTACTTCTCAATTTATTAAAATCGTTTTTTGAATTATATCTGTACCAAATGAAGAAAAAAATGACTATTCTTTTCAGTAACTATTTAAAAAGTCCTGTTGACAGTCTTCATCTATTAAAAAAAATATTATATATCCTCTGTTATCTGTACCTTCTGAAAGAGACAGATAACAGAGAATATATAATTTTTTGCAAATTTTGTTGAGACAATTGAATGCCATTGTGTTCTTCATATTATATAAAAAAAAAACTGTGCCAGACGAAGAGTGCATTAGCCAAATGTACATAAGACTTCAGTTTTCTAAGCAAAATTTGGAATATCTTTATTCATGTTTACCATTCCTTCTTTTCTGTTTTATTTTAAAGTGGTAAAATATTTATTATTCTTTTGAAGAGTGAAATTTTTCAATTATTTAATTCATATATTATTGTCTTACTATTTTAGTTGAGTTATATGAATTTTTAATTAAAATTATTTTCATCATAACCATGAAAGAATTCTTTCATTTTGAGAAATAATTCATCTAAAAATCATCATTTCTGATTTATGCTTGTTGAATTCTTAAATTTTAAACAGATTTAAACTACTTTCTTTTATATTTAGGTGGCTTCTTTTTGGTTTTAATTATTTGGTCAGATTTCCTATTTATTTACTTTTTATATATTTATTTTTAAATGAGCAACAAAACTGTTTTTCTTGATGAAATTGTGTTGTATTGTTTGCAGAATTATCCAGCAAGATTAATGCCAGCCCACAGCCCAAACACAAGCAGCAGTCAGTCAAGTAATCACAGCCAGTCTGGAGAACAGTTAAGCAAAACCAATCTTTATATTCGTGGACTTGGCAAAAATACAACCGACAAAGACCTCCTTGCTTTGTGTGAAATGTAAGTAAATCTTTTTAAAAAATCTTAGATTTTGAATTCATAAAAACATTATGGCTTCTGACATAAACCTGAAGAATATTCATTATAATAAAATGAAAAAAAAAGATTGACATCAAGAAAATTTATTGTACGTTTGCAGAAAGAAAAGAAAATTATCCTTAAGAACTCAATATTTGTTTTATTATCTGTTGATATTGCTTATTTGTTTGCTTACTGGCCTCCCATCAAAAAGTCTTCTTCTTTAAGTCTGTAAATATGGGTACCTAGTATGTTTGAGAAAGACATTTATTGACCTCCCATCAAAATGTCTTCTTTAAGTGTGTATCTGTATAATTTGTTTACTGATTTGGTATTAGGTTACGATTCCAATCTCATCTTTATTCTCTCCATTCACTCAGTTGTTTGTTTCTGTCCAACCAGGAAAAAAAGTGAAGTTGAATATTCTTTGCTTTGTCATTTCATTTGATTTTGTACATTCAAGGTCACAAATCCTGAAATATTTGAGAAGACACATTTCCCTGCAGTTCCTTGTCATAATTTTGCAAACATCATTTAAAGATTTCTTAGTAGGAATAAAAAAAAAAAAAATTGCAATATAAATTATTTTTATTTTGATGAAAGTCATAATTACATTCTATTACTGAAAATGTATATCACCCAAACAAATTTTGCTTTTAAATACATAAAAAGAAATTACTTCAAGTAATTTATTACAAATTAAGAGAATGTTATGATTATTAATTAACTATCACTTTGACCAACTTGTTGCATGCATTCACTGTTATTCCAATGTGTGACACTATCTAAGACTTCTATTGCACCATGTCAAGTCCTGAGGACATTAGTCGTCATGCCATTCTAAGCCTTCCAGCTGTCAGATGAACACCTGTGAATTTTCTGCCTCTTGGCTGTCGAATCTCTTAAGTTAATTGTATTCAAGACAACAAACAGTTCAACTTCTGATGTTTAAAAGTCATTTTATGTTGGGCATAACAAAGTTGAAAATTACTGGATTTGTTTTCATAGTTTTTTGTCTTAGCTTTTTTAGAAATTTTCTGAAGTTGTATTAGTTTTTTATTTAAAATTTGAATCTTGAAGAAATAGGTTAATTGATTGTTTTATATTGACAAAATGTCTAATTTTAAATAAAAAAAAATCAATTAGCCTATTTCTTGTATTGCAGTTGAAACTTTTTACTCTACATTTAACTATAAAGAATAAAGGCATTATTTTAAGATGAGATTTAATCTAAATGTGAATACGTTTACTGGGTTTTAAGGTTTTTATTTCTTAGGAATTGTCAGTTTGTTTTTATAACTAGAATTTTTATTAAATTTCTACAGTTACGTTGCAACTAGGAAAGATGGCGCTGTCACTTAATGCCATAATATTTGTCTTTCTACATAATTGTAACATTATTGGCAAGGATGACACTTTGAAAAATTCTCAAGAAGAGGCAGCATCCCATTATAATTCAACATGCACATTCCAGGATTCATTTGAATAGACTTAGGTTTATACTAGAGTGGCTAATGTTATTTGGAAATTGAAATACTTCTCTCATGATAAAACATATCTTGTGTTGTTGTGGCATCCAATCTGCTTTTATTTGAAACTTTTTATGCTTACATTGACATCTTAATTTTAAAACTATATATGATAAAAGTTATTTTAAATAGCTAACACTGTAGGATTTCTACTATAAAAATAAGAATTGATTCTAACAGCTGAAAATAAATTTAAGTTAATCTTATTGAAACCAATTTAAAAAGAGAATGTGCCTTAATCCTAGTGAAAGAAAATTTTATTTTGAAGGATTTATTTCAGTTGTTTTATTTTTATCCCATTGTGCCAAATGGTGTCCTCTCATTGTCTAAAGGTATTGAGTTAATATCTTTTCACACACTTTAAATAAAAGACACAATGATGTGAAGGCAAAGTGCTGGAAAAATGCTTTTAATGTCTGCCATTGATTTGCTTGAGTTAAGAAAAAAAAAGAGCAATGAGAACACAAAGCATAGTTTTATAATTGTAACCTTTTGGTCTAAGATCAATCTGACTGAAATGAAAATGCTCTTTTCTTTTATAGCTCAAATAATTTTGGTTAAAGAAAATTTCTTAGACTGTTTTTTGCATTGTTAGGATTTTAAATCTGGTTTTATACTTATGTTTATTTTTTTTTTAAATTCATTTTTTTAAAACTTTGTTTACTTGTGTATGTTTTTTTTATATCTTTTCTGAAAGAGCAAATTAGAATATTGAGGTTTGTTTTAAATGAAAACAACCTTAGAAAAAAAAATCATCTGTATTGTTAGGTGAAGAATGGGGATATTGCATCTCAAATCTTTTAAAATTTCTCCATAAACTTTCAAAGGATGATATTTTGTTTCTTTTTCAATAAATTGTATATTCTGCCGAAACAAAAAACACAATTTGTTATGCAACAATAATTGTTATGTATGAATATTTATTTCACAAGCAGGTGTAAATTGAGAAATTATACTTAAACTTCTTACATTGTCATATTTATTCCTGCTGATTTTTCTTGTAAATGGCAAAAATTAGTCTCCTCTCCTGTGTTTAATTAATAAAAGCTTATAGCATAAATATAGTAGCAGGTCTGTTCTATTTGTATATATTTTCCTACAAAAAAAAAACAAAAGATCTTGGCTTGATAGATTTCATGCAATTGTTTCCATGAAAAAATATTTCTTTAAAATGTTTGATGAGCATATACACTTAACAGGCATGAATGCTATTTTCAATATTAGATGTGACCAATAAATAGTTTTAGGCTGAATTCAGTTTAATTCACTCATTATTAATACTATTTATTGACTTTATTTTGTTATGTTTTTCTTCACAATGTTTTGACTGTTCCATTATCTGATGTTCATGTGAATGTCTCCAATGGAATCTTATCAGTTACTTTTGAAATCCTGATAAAGTTTGCTATCAGGCAAACTCCCAACATGTCAAGAACTTGAGTTATCTTAGAACTAACTTAAGTGTAGGATTGAAATCATACATAATTATGTTGTAAGAAAAGAGAAAATTGACTATTATTTTTGTATATTAATATAAAATAAATGAGTTATAAAAATGTTTAATATAGCCAGATGAAAAAGAAGATAACAACATTTCAAGTCCCCAATTAGATTCATATACTGGCTGAATTAATATTAATTTATTACAGATCTCTTTATTTTAAATTTTATATATGAAATGTATTTATTACACTGTTTCTTTACACAGATATGGGAAAATTACTTCAACAAAAGCAATAATTGACAGCCAGCTCTCAACATGCAAAGGTGAGTGAGGTTAATTTTTACAGGTTTTCAGTTTGAGTGTAAATACTTTAAAATTCTGGTTCATACCCTATCACCAAAGGTTAGTGCCTTGCATGACTAGTTTCAAACAAGTCATTATGTCATATATAACCACAAAAGTTTTGATAATAACATTTTGAAACCAAAAATTTTAGTTAACCTGGAGGCTCATTGTGAGGCTTCTGTAATCAAATTATCTCATCAGGTGGGGAGATGGCCCAATACCCAACCTCTGCATTCTGAGAAAAGGTTGGCTTTCTGTCAGGGTTTTCTTTCTTTTACACAACCACATGTTCCCATCCTAATGAGTTCCAGCTACCCAGGTTTTGAAATTCATAGTTTTCTTATTCTTAGACTGGTTGTTAACCAAGGCTGAATAGCCTGATCTACTCTATTATTTAACCCATAGCTGAGGAGAGAAGAGATGGAATTACACCACGTGCATATTCAGAAACCAAAAATATTAATTTTAAATCAATGTTATGAACACTTTTTTCTTTTCTTTTTCTTCAGACTGAGCATGTTTTTTTTATTGAACTAGAAAAAATTCAAGTTGCCTTAGGTTATTTATATTCACTTAACCTAATACTCTTTTGGAAAGGCATGAATCTAAATTTCCCTGTATTTTCTCATCTCCAGTGTTTTTACTTGTATACTGTAATAGTTGATGGATAAGTAAGTGTAAGTACATTGGCAAAGAGTACTCTCAAGTCTTCTTAGTGGCCAGACTGTAGTTACTCAAAGGCTATTACCATTGTTTACTATGATTTAGTCATATTGTATTGTGTCATCAGGAGTTCAATTTTTGTTTCATTGTAGATTCTTGACTGTTTAGGTTTGTTAAAAATTAATCAACTAAAGGAAAACAAAATAAATAAACTTGGAAAAATCTGTTTCTCTTTTCAAACAAAGGAAAATAAATTACTGAAAATAATTACATCAACTCATGTGAGTTTTGTAATTTCTAGTAATAAGACAGGTTTTAAGATTGAAAGAAATTGTTAATGTCTAATGAGAGAAAATGTTGAACTTTGAGATATTTCTTTAGTAAGAAGATCACAGATTTTGATAATGAAGAAAAGCTGACACAAACAGACATGAAAAATACATATTTTCTCTTTTCAAATTAATATGTTCTTTGTCAATTTGTACCAAAGTTAAAAATGAATTGAAAATGAATCTCAACTTTGTAATTTTGTTAATGTTAACTTTTCTCATCAGTGATTTTTTTTTTTTTTTTTAAATTTTATTGCTCTCCTGATTTCTACTGTCCTTTGTGCAGACATGAGGGAACAAGAGAAAATTCTTTATTAGCAAAGACAAGTTTAGTAAAGTCATCAGTTTGATAAAATTAGAATATCTAAAGTTAAAAAATGTACTTGCTTTCAAAAGAGTATGAAATTGAGTGGTATTTTGTGATAAACAGTTACCAATTGTAATTTCTGGTGATAATTTTCAAAATTTTCAAATAATTACAAATATTAGGTCTTTTATTAAAGAATTGAATAGAAAGCACACTTTCGGTAATTAAAGCATATATGGTTAATTCTTGGAAGCTTTAAGAATAATCTTTCAATTGGATGCAGACAGATTTGAACTAATATCTTTGAACTCTGTAAAAAGTATATTTCACTTAAATTTTCCAAATCCTTTGAATAATTTTTAGTTGCTTTATTTGATTAGGGAATTAAGAATTTTGTATAAAACTGATTGAATATTTACTCTGCAGTAGGTGTCGTAAGAATGGCAGTTTCATGTATAAAATGATAGGGAGAAAAAAATCTTGAAAAGAAAAGGTCACTTATTTTTTTTATTATTTTTAATTATGCCCTCAAAACATTGCTTTCATTTAATCACCACAGAGAACCTTTTGTGCCTATCATCAGCATATCTGATGCTACACTCTAGAAGAGCAACACTTTGCAACTTTTTGGTCTCATGTTTACTACTGACATAAAATGGAGGGATTATATTGAATGAATTGCTACATCTACTGCTAGGAAAGTTGGTTCATTGTGTCGTACAAGATGATTCTTTTTGACAGAATCCATCTTGCACATTTATAACTCTACCATTGTCCATGCATTGAATATTGCTTCTATATTTGGTCTGGTGCTCCTACTATATATCTTGAGATTCTTGACAAAATTCAAATTATATATATATATATATCACACACCTTCCATACTTGATACATTAAAAGAGAAGGATACTACCTACACCCCACAAAACACAGACATTACTATACAGATATTTGAACTAGCCGTAGCAAATGACATAAAGAAAACAATAGCACGCTGACACACAGAGATGACCTAATCATAACACAGGCTGACAAAGGGGGTGCGACAGTGATCTGGGGAATTGAAGAATACATTAAAGAGGCCAACAAACAGCTAGCTGACAAAGAAACCTATAAAAGCTTACCTACAGATCCCCTTCTCGAATACCAAAAAGAATTAACTAGCTCACTAAACATAATGCTTCGCAACAATCTAATCGACAAGGAAACATACACAGCACTTACACCCACAAACATTACACCTGCTCGTTTCTATCTCCTTCCTAAAATACACAAAAGCAACAACCCAGAAAGACCAGTCATTTCATCGTTCAACTGCCACACGACAAAAATTTCCAAATACATAGACTATTACATACAACCGCTAGCTAAGGAAGTAAAATCCATTTAAACACACTATCCAGCCGGGCTAAACCATAAATTTAACAATATAGATAGTACTAATATATAACTTTACAAATCAAAACCTACCCACATAAGACAGACATGCTTACAGAGGTGTTGAGGCCTCACACTTATGCACACACCCACACAAATATACACACATCATACTCACTCACTCCCTAATGAGCCAAATGATAACACACACCCACAGCAATACACACGCTTACACATATCATTCTCACTCACTCCCTAAGAACCAAATAACACATGCACAAACACTTAACAGAGACACATCCCCTCTCCAGGACCAATAAAACTATCAAACTGACCAGGAGAATTCAGAGAAGCATAGATCCATCCAGCTCTTATCTCAAGTAACAACTTAAGAGACTGTTTGACCAATACAAGGAATGTTAAAAGATCCATGTTAAAAAGATAAAAAATAAAAAAACAAATGAAAACTACAGACAAAAGTTCATTTCTCCATCAAGACATTCATTTCTGTAGTTTACTGCTACCAGCAAGCAGAAATATTTCTTCTGATGATGGCCATTTTGACTGAAACTAGTCGAGGAATCTAAATGAAATAATAATAAAAAAACGGAAAGAATATTAATCTACAACCCAGTGTGTCTGAAGATTTTAATTTTTTAATATTTTTTTATTGTTCAATATATATATATATATATATATATATATATATATATTCTTTTATATATCTTAAGATTCTCAACAAAATCCAAAGAATGTAGTGTTATTGGTCCTCACCTAGAATCACAACTTTACTTTCCTTCCGCCAAAGTTTTTCGCACCAGAATCCATCTTGCACATTTGTAAATCTACCATTGTCCATGCATTGAATATTGCTTCCATATTTGGTCTGGTTCTCCTATATATCTCGAGATTCTTGACAAAATTCTGACATGGCATCTCAGCCAGTCACTTTCTTACTGTCATGATATGGCTTCCATCTTCTTTTCTACAAATATTCTCATGGCGATTGTTCTGATGAGCTGTTCTCCTTAGTGCCTCAACTGCATGAATTTAAGCATGCTACTAGATTGGCAACTAGGTCTCACTGTTTTACTGTTGAACTAGCTAGATACAACTGTCAGTTCTGTTCTAATAGTTTCTTTTCTTGCCTTCCGACTTCTTACTTCCTTGTCATCTACAATCTTCAAAAATTTAAATGCAACATCAACCGCCATCTTCTATCTTCCTGAATCCTGTTACTTTATTGTACTTTCCAACACATTTGCTCATTAAAACCTTCTCAATCTCTTTCACTCTCTGTAATATCATGCATCTTGTGGCATTATTACCTTGTTTGGAGCGAAATGATAAAAAACAAAAATCTATCTCATTAAACTGGGAATTGTGGCTGTTGACTGAGTGAATATTTCTGGCAAATTTTATTAATTCTAAGGTGAATATAAAGCAAGATTTTTGGTTCCTTGTGACAAATGTGCATATGACAATATTTTGTTAAAATTAAAACCTACTTTTAAATTTTAAAAAAAAATTACTTATTAGAAATGGCTTTTACTTTTTTTATATTAAACTTATAAACTTTGTTGAAAATCTATTAGATATTTTAGATACTTTAGCAAAAGAGTGCTGAAAAGTTCTTTGCCCAACCTACTTGTCCAAATATCAAATTTTTGTGAAGTGGGTCAGGCTGAGAACTTGTCAGCACCCCTTTGTATCATATAGAAACTTAATTGTGCAGGATTAAACCCTGGTTTATGCATCAAATAAGAAATATCTAAAGATTCTTTTTGCAATGAAACTATTTGTTTTACTCAAATGTTATTTTATTTTTATTTTTTAAATCATTTCACCCCAAGCAAAATGATAAAAGCCTCTAAGATGCAGTTGATTACTAAGAGTGAACGGAAACAAAAATAAAACAGGATTCAAGGATACAGATGATGATTGATGATGCATTTAATTTTTGAAGATCATCATAGTTGACAGTAAAGAAGGAATGTTAGGATAACATTGCAGATTCTTGTTTGGATTATGTCAAGAATCCTTAGATTTATAGCCGTGCCAGACCAGATGTGACAGCAATATTCAATGCACAGGCAAAATAGATTCTTGTCAAGCACGCATAGTAAACCGGCTTTCCTAGCAGCAGACCTAGCAAGTGATTCAATTTAATCTTTCCATTTCATGTCAGTGGAAAATATGAGACCAAGAAGGTGCAGTGTGTTGCTCTTTTGGAAATTAGCATCAGCCATGTAGATAGAAGGCAAAAAAAAAAGATTTTCTGATACAATTAAAAGAGAGCAGT